AAGTGAACTCATCGCCATTATCAGTTTGCAGCTGCCTTATTCAGGAATCGAGTTCGCCTTCAAATGTTTCTTTGAACTCCACAAACTTATGAAAAACTTTTGATCGACTTGTAAAGTTATGAAAAACTTCACAAAATAAATCCAAGTGAATCTAGTAAAGTTATCAATGAAAATTAGTATATAAGAATAGCCTAAGAATAAAGGAGTTCTCGTTGGCCCCATCAAGTCACTGTGAATAAGTTCTAGTAGAGCATTGCACATTGACAAGGATCTATCAAATGGAAGATGATGTGCCTTTCCATATAGACATCCTTCACAAACCTCTCATCCACCAAAATTTCTTAAGTTAGCCAATCCTTTTACTAGATGCAATTTTACCATGTATTTTAATTTATACATGCTAAGATGTCCAAGTCTAACATGCCAAAGATGCGTGTTATCATTGCTACTCATCTTCTCAATATATGAAATAAAGGTAGATAAGATATATAAATCGCTAACTCTCTTATATGAGTGAATGATATATGCCTTGAGCACCTTGATATTTCGGAGGAGCTTCACATCACGTGGGCCAAATAGCAAATAGTTTCCAGTATCTACATCATTTACAACTGAAAATTAATTTTCTCTTCATACTTGGAACATGAAAGACACTGTTGAGGGTAATAGCATCTTTTTGCTTCTCGTCGATCACAACAGTGCCTTCCTTCTACATATTATGGATTGTATTATTTGTCGTAACAATGCCATCATGTCCATTGTATTCGCGAAATGTGGAGAATTTGGATTGATCTCAAGTGAGATGATGCCCACATCCTGAATTCACGATCCAATCTTTTTCGAAATTTATGGAAGCCATGTCATTTATAGCTCGAGTCTCCGCTACGAAGCACTTTCCCCAGTCTTCTTCTTCGTCGGCAACTTTCTTGATTTGAGCCATATTGCTCTCTTTAGCTTGACAATATCTTTTATGTGTCCGATTTTGCCACAACGGTAATATTGTAAATACTTTTTACCGTTATCGGAAGACTTCCCTTTCTTTCCTGGCGAGCTTGAACCACTTGAGGATCGAGAGTGCAGGCTATCTATTGATTTTCCTATAAAGTTCCTCTTATCAGCGGCAAGAGCATTTTCTTTCCCTTCTTTGACAGATACACCAACATCTGTTTGACTAGTAGCTCTTGTGATGACAGCAAATTCTCAAATTCTTTCAAGAATGGTTGTGGAACCCATCCTTGAATCGATGTAAAATGAGAATATATTTTGGCTTTAAACAATGAGTAATAATTCTTCTTATTCGTGCTTCAGAGATAGCCTCGCCCGGATTCAATAGAGAACTTTCAGAACATAGATTTTTAACCTTCAAAAAATACTTGTCGATAAAAAGATTACCTTGAGTAGTGTTGGCCAATTAATTGTCTAAAATTAGTAGCCGAGCTTCATCCTTCTTATTGAACAACCGATCGAAGGTCTTCCATATTTCATGAGTTGATTTATCATTATATATGACAAAATAAGTTGGGAGAGATAGAACTCTTTAAGATAAACTCCGCCTTGGCATTAATCTGCTTCCACTTCTTGCGTGCGTTACTATTTTTCGATTCGTCAGCAGGAGGATTTGTGTTACTCCCATTGACAACTTCCCACAAATCCTCACCAACAAGTTATGATCCCATACAAATCTTCTATACTTTGTAGTTGGACCGGTTCAATAACTTCATCCCCAGTCCATTAGCACGAGCACTCAAATCCATTTATTTTAGACCCGTTGAATCAACCACTAACCGAACCTTGAAATCCAGAAGCCAACCTATGGCTCTGATACCATATAAAGAAACACAACCCAATTCTTCAAATTCCAGATTCAACTATTTTTTAATACATATATCAGATTTCGAACTCGACAAAGGACGCAACTAAATAATGGAGTCTGGAGTTTCTCTCCTAAACTCAACTTGGTCAGCTCTTCTCGGACGAATTGATGTGTTAAAGTATAGTCCCTTGCTTTCGATTTCATGTCTGAATCCGTTCGAAGCTTCCAAGGTTGCTCCATTAACCGATTGATATTCAAAATAGGTTTTAGGGCCAAATCTGGTAGCATTTAGTAGGCAAATATAAAAATTATATTTTTTGACAAGAAAGTAGTATCTGGAGTAAGAAAAAGTATTTTAAATTTGAAATTATATTTAGATATGCATTTCACTAGAAAAATGTTGCAGTTTTGTGAGTGGGGAAAAATAATTCTGAAAAATTTGAAAGAGTTTGGTTTTTGAAAAAATTATTTTTGATTTCTTTACAAAAACCTGTAAAATTTTATGGGTAGACACATTTTTGTATTTTTTTTAATTTTTTTAATGAACAAACGAGGCCTTAATAAGAGGGATTAATATTGATATTTTTTTATTTGCCAAACAAAGTAGGTTTCTCTAATCCAAATTGACCCAAAAAAAAGACTTTTAAAAATATTTCAGATTTTTTATTTGATATAATATTAGGTATATCAATAATAAAAGTAAAAGAGTTTATTAGTTTTGTTTGGTAATTAAATCAATAAAACTTGATTAGAATTGGACGGATTATGTAATAGGTTTGTTCAGTAAGTTTTTGTGCCAGGAGCTAAATTTTATTACAAAATTTTTAAGATTTAATTAAAATGTCGAATCGCAATATATAATTATCGAAATTTTAGATTCTATTAGAAAGGATCAAGGTTCTTTTTATTGAAAATTTACTAATTTACACTCTACAGGTATAGCAAAAAAGGTAGGTAACTAAAGTCATAATACTATGAAAGTTTAAATAGTGATGACATAATTGCCAGCTTGGACCAATCAAACTATGCAGTGAAATTAGTACTTCGTCTATTTCATTTTGTTTGGCATAAGTTGACTCAACCCGAAATTTAAGAAATATATATATATTTTTAAAATTTTTGGTTTTGAATATGCCATAAGACTCATAATATTTGTGTCACTGTGTAAAACTTGTGAAAGTTGTAATATTAAAGAAAATCATCAAGATTTTGCGATCCGTTGTATTTCAATTCTAAGAGCTCAGATCAAATTGAATCGGCATTGATATACCAATTTGACCTTTGCTCTCTTATTGAATATGCTCATTCAAATAGCAGTTCTAGCTCCATATAAAGAATTCCCCAATAGTAGTGATTGTGATCAATACTTTAAAATTTTCTTGGGATGCTATTAAAATTGAAAGGCACAATTTGAACAGCAATGATGGCATTTCTATTTTGTTTACCGAATCACATGAAATTTTACTCAACTCCATATCTGGAATGTATGAAATACGTATGAACGGAGGAAGAAAGAGAATTTTCTACTTAAATTGAATTGGAATTTATTGAAATTTTCAACAAATACAAATGGAAAGAAGTTGATGAGATGGTCCTAATACTTATGCGGAGCTAAAGAAAATTTCATTAATGAAGTATAAAAATATGAAACCTTTTTTGGGACGAATAAATAAGAAAATAATGTCTTCAACTTGTTTGGATAGTTGTTATATATCGTTTCATAATATATCGTATTGTATTGTATTGTATCGTTTTGATGTATATAATATTTGGATAGATTGTATTGTTTGTCGTTGTTCCATGGTGTCATGCATCAACAATATGAAGAATAAACTTGCAATATTAGAAAGAAAAAGCAAGGTACGAGGTAATATTATAATATAAAAAGGTAGTATAAATGATAAAATAAGATTATCTAATAATAAAAAAGATGCAAGATGAGAGAAAAAAAAGGAAACAACGCGACCACACCAAATCGGTCGTTTCATAAAATGACACTTTTCGTCGTTACGTAACGACGAATTTCAACGATACGATACAATAAAAACTAAGTAACAATAAAATTAAACATTGTATACGATACAATACTACATGTAACAACCATCCAAAAAGTGGAAAAGACGAAGTATAGTTAGACCTGTCAAATGGGCCGGGTTGACCCACGAACCGGCCCACATAACCCATTAAATTGACCTTTTAACCGGTTGGGTAATTACCATTGATCAGTTGGGCAATCATGAACAATCGGGCTCAAATTTCATATGTTTCTCACGTTTTAATGTTAATAAAGTATGATTTTTCTTTCATTTTTATTCTAATTGGTTTCAAGAACATGTAGTAATTTCAAGTTCATATATATGTATAAAAATTTGAATTTTTTATCATTTATTAGTTTTTTGAATTAAATTGAATTCGGTCCATTAGGGCCCAGGAATTACGGGTCAGGTCAAGAGGTTCTGGTTAATGGGTCAAATCCGGACCGGCTGTTTAAGAAAGTGAACCGGCCGGACTCTATTAAGGATCCACGGGCCAAAAGTCAACGGGTTTGGCTCCGGGGCGGGTCGACCCATTTAATACAGTAGATTTCGTAAAAATAGCACGGTATAGCCAGTTTTCGGACTGGTCATTCAAAAATAGCCAGCGTTTACGAAGTCAATGAAAAATAGCCACTATTTTGCTGCAACAGAGATCGGTCCAGCATAATATACTGGAGTTCAGTGCACCTGTGTATGAACTCCATGCTGGACCGGTATACTTTGCTGACTCCAGTATAATATATTGGAGACTGGAGCACCGGTGCTCCAAACTCCAGTATATTATACTTGCTGGAACTCCAATATATTATGCTGGAGTTCTAGTGTACTTATGCTGGAACTCCATCATATTATGTTGGAGTTCCACCATACTTATCCTGGAACTTCAGTATAATATGCTGGAGTTCAAGCATACTTATGCTAGTACTCCAGTATAATATACTGTCGTATTTTTCGGGTTTTGAATAGTGTTTTCGCTCAAATTTATCTTTACATGAAAAGTGGCTAAATTTCGATTTAAAACTGGGCTATTTTTGAACGACCAGTTGTAAATTTGACTATTTTTGAATTTCTCCCGTAGATTTCGCTGTAAGTACACGCTAGCACTAGGGCAGTTAAGTAAATTTATTTTGTACAACAGTCCGACTTTTCTCTACTACAGAGCAAAGAAGAAAAATATACTCCTACTAGCGGAGAGAGGAGAGAGAAAAAGAAAAGAAGAGAGAGAAAACTCGCCTCTCTCTGTGAGTTTATTTTTGTACTCTGTGTCTGTTGATTGAGCCTAGTGATCGTCGAAATCACCTTAGACTTTTGATTTTTAGGCGGTTATATACTTTCTTAATTCTTACTTACATTTATCAATTTCTCTGATTCTATATATCTAACTTAGATCTCTCACTTTATTTGTAGAAAATTTTGATCATTCAATTATTTATTTTAGGAATAGTCAATCAACTAATGAATATAGAGACTAATTAGAGGATTTCTTAAATTTTGGGTGATCACTTTTTTATTTTTGGAAAGTATTGATTACTTAGAAACAAACCCTAACCTAGTTTTGATGGCTGGACCGGCTCCAACTCCGGCTCATCATTCATCAGCCGCTGCGCGTGGCGTTTCCTCGGCTTGGACGCAGATTGTTCGCAGTAGCGACTCAGAATCGACAGTTGTGGCGATTTCCTCTTCTCCTCCTCTTCCTCCTCCACTTTCTCCTCCGGCGTATTCTGAGCAAATCGTTCATTCCTCTGATTGTTCGCCTTCTGATGACGTGGCGACAGCCGGTAGTGCTGCTACAGAAGCTCAGCTTGAGAGCTCTGATAACGGAAACAGCGATGGCAGCAACAGCAATGTGGCTAAAAAGCCCGCTTGGAACAAACCGTCAAATGGTGCAGCTGAGGTTAGTCCAGTCATGGGTGCTGTCTGTTGGCCTGCTCTCTCCGATTCCACTAAGGCTTCACCAAAATTGTCTTCTTCTGAGTCTCTCAAAGCTCTCTCCGACGGATCAGTTTCTGTAACACAGGTTATTCCCCATTCATCAATGCTAGTTTTCTGTATACATTGCACTAACTAATTTTGTTAATGAAAAGCATTTAAATGGAACAAAATGGATATTGGGGATTAACATAGCCGACCCTAACTACCCTAGGATTGAGGCGCAGTAGTAGTTGACTAGTTGTTTGCTCTATCTGCTGCCTGACTAGATTAAGCGCAAAAAAGCACCACAGTTTGTTGGAGCCTTATGCGCACACCACAATAATTTATGCGCAAACCACAATAAAGTTATACACGTTGCTGTGCCCTTAAAGACAACCTCAGTGAAGGTGCACTCGCTTTAGCACCAGCCTACACTGAAGCTCCAAATAAGCGAGGCTAAGTGCACAACCTGGGCTTCACTGAGCTTGAGGGCGTAAGCTCGCTTTAAGCGAACCTTTAACTGTGCCTAACTCTGATTCTTAGTTTCGGTGTTTTATTGTGTATGTGTCCTATATTGTGACCATTTGTTGTCTGGTTATGCGTGCACACGCTAGAGTAACGTGTGTATGAGTTAATAGACCATAGTTGTTCCAAAAGCTCATTTATATGTAAATCTGGGGTATTTTATAGGGGACGGGAATGACATCATCTTCTCATGGGCAAGCTAATACGAACAATGCGAACCCTAATTCAACGCTGAACCATGTTGCTCCTACCCGCCAAAGGTCTATGAAGCGCGGTGGTGGTTATTCAAACAATAATGCATCAGCCAATGGCGGCTTCTCTCAGCAACAGGGGCAGAGTTCTGAGGTGGAAATAGTCCTTAATAAATCTGGGAAGTCCGGTAATGCTGGTGCTGATTCATCTTCAAAGGATAATAGTCATAGGGATGGTGGACAATGGGGAGGATTTGGATCTCAATCACATGGTGGAAATGAGCACCAACATCAACGAAATTCAAACAGGAGAGGCAATGTTGGTCCACACCCCCGTGGAGATGGTACGTATCATCAAGGTTATGGGGGTAGGCGTGATCAGGAACGTGGAAATCAGGATTGGAAACTCCACAGAGGTTGGGGGAATAGGGATGCACACATGCAGCCGCAGAGAGTTCCAGCGAGGCCATTTATGGGAGGCCCACCTCATACGTCCCCACCTTTTATACCTCCAACCATGCCTGTGCATCCCTATCGAGCTCCCATGGTTTACTCTGGTGAGATGTGTTACTTCTGGGGTTCTTTTTCTGAGTTACTAAACCCCATTATGTCGCTCTACTGATACTTTAACCCATTTGCAGAGGTACCGCCTGTATATTTTTTTCCAGGTCCACTCCCTGATACATTCAGAATGCCTATGCTTTCTCCTGTGCCACCTGTCTTCTTTCATATGCCAGATCCCCAGTTGCAAACCAAAATAGTGAACCAGATTGATTATTATTTCAGGTAGACGCTTCTTTGTTCTTTGCTTGAAATTGCTCTTACATAGTAGCTGTCTTAACTGTTTTTGTATTATAAACTATTCCCGTCCCTATATTTTGTTGCAGTAATGAAAATTTAATTAAGGATACATTCTTGCGGCGGAACATGGATGAACATGGATGGGTTTCTGTTGCGCTAATAGCAGGCTTCAAGAAAGTGAGTTGGTTGGAATTAAATGTCATTCCTCACAAGGAGAGTTCTGTTAATACATACGTGTTTTTTTGACCCTTAGTGCTTGGCTGATATTTTCTGGTGTATTAGTAGCTTATTCTTTTGAAAATACTTCTCCATCTCTTATTTCATGTTGCTGTTGGTAACTGTTAATAATGTTTCATAGCCTGGTTGATGACCTTAGCTCCTTTTTTAGGGGTTAGAAAATGCCAATGATATCTTTTCCTCAAACAGGAAGAGAAAGAGGGGGAAGGACAACCTGAAATGATTATTCTATATTTTATGCATTGGACTTGCTTCTTTGTTTGTAGGGTTTGCCTCTTTAATCTTCTGTAATAGCTTGTTTATTTAATTCTTAGGTTTTTCTTCGAGATTTGGTAACAAACTAACATCATTAGTCCAAATAGGACATAGTTGAACATAAAATTAGTTGAAGAGAGCGAGGGAAGTTAGTCGTTCATTTCTATAGGAGGCCTCTCTGTCTCTATCTCTCTTATCAATGTTGCTTTTTCCCCCTCTTAAGAGTATTATGGGAAGACAAAGAAAGTAAAATAATGAGAACTTCTAACTTTTCCTCGGGGAGGAAGTGTTTGTGCATAATTTTGACCCTTTTGACTCGAGAATAGAACATTTAGAGAAAGGAGAAGTATCTCTGGATGTCTAGGATTGCTGATTGCAACTATGATTCTTTTTGTATCAAGCATATCTAAGTGTATATGAAGTTTTATATGCGCGCTGTAATGCTGTTGTTGGTTGATGATTATAAATGCTGTATCTTTTATACAAAGCTGTTCCAATGTTGTTCATTTGGAGACTGGCCGATATGTGGTTGAACTGCATCATATCTATCTGGCGTTGCAATCGATTGCATCCGTAGCTATTAATATATTGTTGCGACAAATGTGTCAAGCTTCAGTATTGTCCTCTTATAATGAACTCTTGAGCTCATGCAAAGTGCTTAAACAGATTTTTGTGTTGAAATTGAGTAATTCTAGCAAGAGTTAGTGACAACCATACTGTGTTCTGATGTGCACTCTTGGCTAATACGTTATCATGTAAATGCATGAATATGTAATAATTTCATTAGACTGTTGGTTCTGGTTTTACTGTAATTTGTTCCATGACTAAATTGTTTCCATTGGGATAGATGTCCATCTCCTTAGCTGTTCTTATTGATTGTATGGGAAGCCAATTAGGTTAGGCTCAATACTCGATCACAGTCATGATAAGTAGAGTTCTTCAGGTTACTATGCATGTCCGCACATGCACAAATTTGAATACTTAGTTTTACAGGTGAAATCTGTTGTTCGTGGAGTCTATAGTTGGTTAATGGTTGGTTGATTTTGAAATTCCTGTTCCCTTTATGGATAGTTTTATCTGGAGCTCCCACATCCTTGTGATAGATAGTAGCAATTAGGATGGGTCTTAAAACAAGTAGTTCTGGTGAGTAGCAGGCAGTGAGAATGTGTTCTGATTGCAAAAGGGATCCTAAGAACTCAAGACCAATCAACTGAATAAGGTAAAGTAAGAATATCTCGAGCATAGCACTTTTTGGAGTGTGGAAGTTATAGCTATGTGGGTGAATCTCTCAACTGTGGCTCTTTAGGTTAATTCAAGGGTTTATTGCTTTCAAAAAGGGGTGAAGAAGGCAGGAGTACTTATAGTGATACAAGAGAGGTGATTTCTGTGATTGGTGTAAGTGGCATCAAGAAAGCAGTTTCAATGTTCTTTTGTGGTTTAAATGGAAGAAATAAGATTTTTAACCTGCATAATGCAAGAAAAGTTTAGGCAAATTGGGTTATGCAGAGGCAGGTATTTGTTGAAGATGAGTTAAATATATTGACGGCTACCAATTAGGAGGAAGCATTGCTGTAAAAAACCTTGAAACAGCGAAGCAAGTGAAGCAATTCTTCACGCTTCATACGTAAAGCCATGCGATTTAGAGAAGTTCGGACTTCAAACAATGTTGAAAAAATTGATTCCAACGAGAATCTGTCATTTTCTTTAATTTCAACTTTGAGGAGTTGGATTGATATCGGCATTATTGTATACTAGTGGATGTCAAAAGTGGTTTTTTTTATTGCAACTTAATTTTATTGTACTTTTCCATAGATGTTTGATATTTTTTTTAGAATTTCCTTAAATTGTGAGCTTTGGATCAAAGCTGTGAGCTTTTCTTCTCGCTTTTTGCTTCAACCCCATACAGATACACCTTGTCGCTTTTTCGCTTTTTGTGCTTTTAAAAACTCTGGGAGAGAATGGAGGCAATGTGCTGATAATGAGTATTGTTAGCTCTGAAAGTGTAGGATTTAATGCTGAAAAATGAGAAGACTCTGATTTGAAATTGCTACTTGATCAGGTGAAGTCGTAAGTTGAAACAATACTTACCGAATGCAAGTCATCAATTGAAATGAAGATATACTTCCCCCGTTTTAATTTATATGAACCTATTTCCTTTTTAATCCGTGTCAAAAAGAATGACCCCTTTCCATATTTGTATACAATTTACCTTTATGCATTGATTTATGGTCACACAAAATATATGTACCTTATTTTACACCACAAGTTCTAAAGTCTTCACTTTTTTCTTAAACTCCGTGCCCAGTCAAATTGGTTCACATAAATCGAAACTGCGGGATTAGTAAATAGATGCTTTAAAAGGAGTCATCTATTTCTTCAAAAACTCTAATTTTCCCTTAACATGGTTGGTAGGAGAAGGTAAGAGAACTGTGATTTTGTGGAGGATATGTTAATTAATTGAATGAATAGTCAAATTGGAAGTCTAATTTTACCTAAATCATTTTTGGAAGTAGGAGATAAGAAAGTTGCTTGGAAGGATATAACTAGTAAGTGGGTGAAGTTTTGGATTTATGATTTGTTCACAGTAGTTTCGAGTTTAAGTTGTAATGAATTCAAACTTATTTTAAAAAGTTTTTGATGCTTTGAGATCCTTGGTTTGCTTGCCATTTCCTATTCTATTGCATTTGCTCTTCTTCTCTATTACACTAGGATTCAAAAATATGATGGGGGCTATGGAGATGCTTAGGAAAAGTAAGGTGTTGTTACACCCCTTATTGTTTGAGTCTCACCTTTTTCATTATTTTTACCTCCCCAACAAGTAGTAGATTAGCATAACTTAATTGCTTCTGGATTATTCATTTTCCATTATTTTTTTGGAAGATGTAATTGTTTCTAATACCTGCTGTGCTGTTTGCTGTTCGATGTTGGCTTGATGTATTTGTTGGTTTTGTTTGGTTCTTCCAATATGCTGTTGTAGAATAAAGTCACAATATGAGCAGGCCTTTTGTTTAATTCTTTCTTGTGACTTATTTTAAAAGATGATTGCTCGATTTAGTGAATTGTTGTCATGCGAATGCTTTTCATTTAAGTATTTCCTATATCGGTGCATCGCAACCATAGATATGTGGCGCTCCTGATGTATGTCAGGTTTGTCAACTTAAAAAGTAATTTAATTTAAGGAGTATCTGAACAAGTCTGTTGGAGCTCTTGTAGAGTTGTATGATCTTGTCCTCTCTTTTCGGCAGGTCAATGATACAATCAGATAGTTGTAAGCAATTGAATGTGTTTGATCATTCCATGGTATAATTTATGTCGTATGGGGCTTTGTCCAGATATTTTTTTGCAAGTATTAGCATTCAGGCAGTTTTGCACTTGACCCTATGATTTTAGTTCAATCTGGTGTTTTGTTTGTATAGTAATGTTTTTGTGATAGTTCTCTATGTCATTTTTGCTGCAATGGATGTAGCATAAGGTGAATGATTAATCTTTGGGGGTTGAGGTGAAGGCTGAGGGAGAAGTCTTTGGATATCCTTTCAGATTAATGGTTCTTCATTTTATTTTAGTGCAGCCTCACTTAAATACGTGCCTTGAGCACTCTCTTTGTGGTAGCCTCATTTGCTGTAAAAAACTTGGCTTATTTTCGGCCATTTTTGCAGGTAATGTCGCTGACAGATAATATACAACTGATACTGGACTTTATGAGGTCCTCTACTGTTGTAGAAGTGCAGGTATTCCTTCTATATGTGGTTTGTGGTCTTTTTAGACTTTTAATTTCTATTTCCACTGGACAAAAGAAATGGTTCCTTGCGTATTAGTCGATTTTTGGCAAAGTGTTTGTGTTGTAAAAGGATGGAATTTTAAACAATGAACACTTGTTAAAGACCTTACAGATATGAGCATGAAATCTTAAGTAGAACTAAAGCCTGTTACCCTTGCAAAATGGTTTTGAAGAATTCAATTGCCTTGTACATTATCCACTGCATTCTTCGGAATAGGTCTCTCTAGAAACACAATAATGGTTTGTAATTCATCCTTATTAAAGTGTCCTTCGTTCACAGTAGCTGCTGTTTGAATTATATAAAGAGTCTGTTTGGTGATGCCCTTGGTGATGCCCTTGGCCGATTGAGATGTTTAGTACTTCAGACTTCAGAAATTGCTTAAACCTGCCAAGTTTTGAACATGTGGTCCAGTGCCCCCTCAAGGAATTTCTCGGTTAGCACAACCAAAAAAAAAAAGGGGGGGGGGGGGGGGAAGCAATTTTTTGTTTACGTTTTTTCCATGAAAATACTTGGGTAGTATTTGCCTCTACACTCTTGGTTGGGCCTACTTAGGTGTTTAGACAGGAGTAGGAAAATGCTTTTAAGAATATTAGTAATTAGTATAGCGGTTATACTAAAATTAGAAAGTACTCTGGTAGTATTTGCCTCTTAACTGTTACAGGTTTTAACAGTTTTTTACCTTGCGTTGCAGGGCGAAAAGTTAAGGCGTAGAAATGACTGGAATCATTGGATCATACCGCCATCAGTTGAGAATTCAATCATAAGTCCTCAATCTCCACAGAAATCTACTCCTGATTTTCTTGCAGAAAATCTCCAGCGTGTTGCATTTGATGATGAGACTATAAGACATGGAAATGCCGAAGCATATCTTAGTAAACCATCATCTGCCGAATTAAGTACTTCATCTAAGCAGTTTGGCAATGAGATGGCTGGAAAAGCTGGTGCTCAGCGTGGACAGCCAATGCCAGTTGGAAATCCAAGTTAAAAAGTTAACTGTTCCGTGGTGGCGTGAAGAGTGAAGCCCAGGGGTTGGCAGTATTGTGCTTCTTCGAGCTAATCAATGAGTTTAGTCTTTACCGTTGCTGATCGCAATGACGTCTCATGAAGGAAATAGATAGCAATAAAAGAGAACAGTATGGGAAAAGGATTATAATGTGTCTTTTAAGCTTGCAGCTTTGATTTTGTTTGGATGTGTATTTTCTTTTGTTGGGGAGAAGTATTTTCTTCTCCTTTTATGTTATGTTTGTTCCTCTATCATGGTTATTATACAGGCTTGGGCAATTTTGATTCTACTTCCCCATGCAGCCCCTCAGCTTTATTTATTTAACCAAAATCTTTGGGGCCAGGTCACTTATCTCTGAAGGAAAGCTTATTGAAAGGCATGAAGTTGTTGGCTACTGATTTTTTCTCTTACTGAAAAGCCGGGAGATTGGTCTTGTTGGATGGTGTTGCAATGCTGTGAAGACTCTTCTGCTGTCGCTGGGCACATGATTATCTTGTTACTCTTTCTGCTTGTGTCAAACATAGAACCATTGACTCCCTTTTATATGTATATTTTTTTTTAGAATGAGGCATTAGTTGCCCTTCCAGAACTAAATAAGTATCTTTACGCTTGATTGTTATATACTTGGTTTCTTTTCCTTACAAAATAAGGGAACTAATTGACTTGTTAGTTTATTAAATCATATGTAATTACCTGATTGCTGATACAAGTTAAACATGCAACTTCGGTTTGGTTGGTCAATTGGCTCGGCCTATCTCAGTTAAATAAGGCTTAGGGCCGGCCTCAAGTTAAGGGATCTGGGTTTGGCTCGGTCCTTAGCGGGATCGAGCTGTCCATCCACCCCCGGGCTAGCTTGGCAAAGGATCAGTCTTTGGCCCGTGGATTAGCCAACCTGGGATCAATGGTTGGGTTATTTACAAGAATACCTTGGAAGTGGGTGATCTTGATTTTTTGACCCTGCTTGTCCCATGTGTAACACTTCAAGTTTAACAAGTTTTATCCCATGGAAATTTTTTTGACCTTAAAGGCATTGGGCAAGCGGGGGTAAAAAAATCAAGTCATTCATTTTCAAGGTCATTGAATGTGATTTCACGTTGATGTTTTTCTTTTGAGATTAGGCGGGAAAATAGGCAAATAGCCACTTTTCATACTGTATTAAGATTTAGTCACAGTTTCAAAGTAATTAATTAGCCACTTTTATTAAGTGGGACAAAATGGAACTAAAACTAACCCAAAGTAACGCTTCTCACACAAAAAATCAGCATGTGATGGGGCAGACCGATGACAATTGCAGCGTACAAGACTACAAGCTGCAATTTTCGAAACAAAGCTTTTGGTTAATACTTTATAAAGAACAACACCAGAAAATCGAAGACCAAGTTCTAATATATAGAACAGCAACAAAAATGCATGCTCAGTGCAATTGTTAAAATTGCAAGTAACTGACAGCCGTAAAGAGTCAATTGAGATTCAAAATAACAACTTTAATTTGATTTCGACATATCATGACATGTGAAAATTTTCTGAACCATTAAAACCAAAAAATTTTTATTCATTAGTCAAGGATGAAGTCACGGAGTTCGTGGTTCTACAGTTGAAAACTCAAGGATGGAGTCATGGGATTCGATATTCTACAATTGAGAACTCAAGGATGAAGTCATAAAGTTCTTGATTTTACAAATCACAACTCAAGGCTGAAGTCATGGTTCTCCTACAATTGAGAGCTCAAGGATGGAGTCATGGAGATTCGTGGATCTACAAGTGAGAACTCAAGGATGAAGTCATAGAGTTTATGATCTACAAATTGAAACTAAAGGATTAAGTCATGGCATTTGTGGTTCTACAATTGGGAACTCAAGAATGAAGTTATGGAGTTCATGGTTCAACAAATTGAAACTCAAGGATGAAGTCATAGCGTTCATGGTTTTACTACAATTGAGAACTCAAAAGAATGAATTCATAGAGTTCTTGGTCTACAATTGTGAACTCAAGGTGTAATGACCCGGCCGGTCGTACTGTGTATTAGAGCCTCGTCCCCCTATTTAATACTTTCTGTATCTTGTTTGATGTTTTGTGACTTGTAGGGATGGTTGATTTGGTTTCGAAAAGTTTTGAGTGTGAATTGGAACACTTAATTCTATTTTGGAGAGCTTAAGTTGTTAGAGGTGACCTAGGTTTTACTTTTGAATAAGCGACCTCAGAATCGAGATTTGATGGTTCCAATCGTATGGTGATTTTGGACTTGGGCGTATATTCAGATTCGGATTTGGAGTTTCCTAGAAGGTTTTGGCTCTATTTGCCGAATGTTGACAATTTGAAGAATTGAAGAGTTTGTAAGTTTGATCGATAGTTGTCTTTGATATTATCGGGTCCCAATTGGTGTTCCAAGACTTTGGATATGTTTGTTTGGTTGAATGCAACTTGTGTGTGAAGTTTAGTTGAAATCTGGAATGTTTTGGCATGATTCAGACGTGATGACGAAGTTAGAAAAGATAAGAATGGATTTTGATCCTTGATTCTCGATTTTATTATTGTTTTTGATGTTTTGAGCATTGAGATAAGGTATTAGGACTTGCAGGTATGGTTAGCTGGGGCCCCCGGGAGCTCGGGTGTGATTTGGGATGGTTTCAAATCATTTTGGGAAGATTGGTATTAGTAGTTCTAATGCATTGCACCTGCGGAGGAAGGTGTCGCACCTGCGACGGGATGGTTCGCATCTACGAAGGCAGGCCTAGGATTGGTTGACTGCACATGCAGACGTCCAAGCGCAAAAGCGTTATCGCGCCTGCAAGAGAATGTGCGCACCTGCAACTCCGCAGATGCAGATGGTGTGTCGCAGGTGCAACGGTCAGCTAGTGAAGAGGAGCTCGCATATGCGAGCATATGATCGCAGAAGCGATCTCGCAGATGCGAGATTTTGGACCGCATATGCAAAATGTCTGGCATGTTATATTTCGAGGGTTAGCTCATTTTTTATTATTTTGAGTTTCGGAGCTTGAGAATAGACGATTTTTTTTCAGGAGACTTTCACTACTACTTTAAGGTTAGTGACTTCTACTTGATTTTGAATATATATTTTATTTTCTCATGGATTTATACACTTTAATTATGGAATTTTGAAGAAAAGTTTGGTGTTTTTATCTACAACTTTTAAAGGTGTATTTCGGGGATATGAAGGTCGATTTGGACTCGATTTTGGAATCTACCACATATTTAGAATCGTAGGATTATGGGTAGTTAGGATCTGCCCCAAGACTTGAGTTTTGGCCACGTGGGTCTGAGTTGACTTTTGTTGACTTTTTGAGAATCGATTAAAGATTGAAAATTTATTGTTTAGAGTTGATTTCTGTAGCATCATTTGACTTTATTGAATAATATTTGACTAGATTCGAGTCGTTTGGAGGTGAATTTAAGAGAAAAAGCTGTGTTGGAAGGTTGACCGTATTATTGGGTAGAGGTAAGTCTCTTGCCTATTCTTGTAAGAGGAAATTCTTCCTATAAGTGAGTTATTTGCTACTTGCTATATGAGTTAGATGCCATATATATGCGAGGTGACGAATGAATATGCGTGGCTAGGTTATGACCATAGCCCGTTAGAGTTAGACTTATAACATGCCTTGTTGAGACTTTGTGAATTGTTTATCCATGTTTCATTGACTCTATGACTAACGTGATAAATTTTATTTATGAATAAAAATCATGCTTAAGGTTTTGGCTTGATGATTTGGCCATAATCATATTCTAGCATTACTTAACTTATGATTTAGTGATTACTAGCTCTTGCTGCTCATGTTTGATCCCATAATCAGACTTAAGAATACTAAATGAACATATTAAACTGTTGTGGAAAGTTGAATTACTTGATTAGTCATAGACAAACCTTATTCATGTTAATATTTATCTGCATTAATATTATTATGTCCTGTGCATCTTTACCACATCATCTCATATGCATATATATGAGTTGGAGAATTGGATATTGAGAAAAGTTGAGGAACTTGACACTAAGGATATTATGAACGGATATTGATTATGTATTACTGATTATGATTGGATTGGGTTGCACGCCGCAATAACGCTTGGATAGCGATCTGTCCCTCCAGAATCAAGTAATTACCTATATTACTTTGGGCTCTATGAGCTCGGCACCCACATTGGTACTAGTTTGGACCACATTGGTACTAGTTTGGACACTTGGCCAGTGTCAGGCATATGAATTGGTACTGTGAGGTATTGAGACTGGATCATAATCATGCATATATATATCCTATACTTATGCAATAGCTCTTTTATATGAACGTTGATTGGTTTGTATTATGATTTTGAAAGTATTGAGATAATTGATATTTTTTTTGCCCGAAAAACATGTCTAAATAATGTATCTCACTATGCCTTTATGTTTGAGCCTATTTGATGATATCATGCCTTATCTCTCGATCTATTATACTTTTTACTTGCTTATCTAACTGTTAATAAGTGTTAGTGTCGACCACTCGTAACTACTTCTTTGAGGCTATACTTGATACTTACTGAGTATCATGATTTTATCACGCAGGTTCTGAAGCTGATACTAGTGGTATTCATCTCGCTGAGTAGGAGTGAGTATTGGAGACTTCGTGGTGAGTTGTTTTACTTGATCTGATCCACAGCAGTCTGCCTCCCTACTTATCTATTTTTGTCTATTTTTTTTCCTTTATATATATATATATATATATATATATATATATATATATATGTATATATATATGTATATGTATATATATATATTGTTGTTCAGTTAATACTAGTTACTCTTTCTATATGCTCTTGATAATGTGACATCGGGTTTGAGAGTTAATAGACAGTGGTGGTCGTTCTTAGACCATGTCTTAGACATTTGTATTGATGATAATATATGAGACTCATTTCGCATTGTTATTTATATTATGAAATATGTTAAATACTTAATAATTTGCTTTCATTATTGTTGATTGAGTGTTGGCTTTCCTAGCAAGCGGGTTAGGCGCCATCACGTCCTTTAGTAGAATTTTGGATCGTGACACAATGATAGAATCATATAGTTCGTGGTTCTACAATAGAGAACTCAAGGATAATGTCATGGAGTTTTGTGGATCTACAAGTAAGAACTCAAGGATGAATCATGACGTTTGTGATTCTACAATTAAAACTCAAGAATGAAGTCATGACATTTATGGTTCTACAATTGATAACTCAAGGATGAAGTCACGGTGTTTGTGATTTTACAATTAAGAAATCAAGGATAAATTCATGACATTCGTGGTTGTACAATTGAGAACTTAAGGATAAAGTCATAAGGTTTGTGATTCTATAATTGAGAACTCAAGGATAAAATCATGGAGTTCATAGTTCTATAATTGAGAACTCAAGGATGAAATCATGGAGTTTGTGATTCTATAAGTGAGAAATCAAGGATGGAGTCATGGAGTTCGTGGTTCTATAATGAAGAACTCAAGGTAAGATTCATGAAGGTCGTGGTATTTATAATTGAGAACTAGGTATAGAGTCACAAATTTTGTGGTTTTACAATTAAGAATTCAAAGATAGAGTCACAAGGTTCGTGGTTCTATTTGTCATGACGTTCGTGGTTCTACAATTAAGAACTCCTAGATCGAGTCATGGAGTTCATGATTCTATAACTAAAACTAAAAATAGAGTCAT